CTTATCTGCTGTAGCTCCTTTTAAATGTACTGTTCGTGTCTATTACTAGCTATTACTGATTTTTAATAACATATACCCTTTGCAGTGTTGAATGCCATACGAACACGTTTGCACAAACAAGAATACTTTTGCGACAGTTTAAGGTCAAGTTTGAGCTTTTCGTGGATCGAAACAACCATATTTTAGTTTAATTATATTTATTTATACCTCCCATAATGCAAACAAATGAAAAATTACCCAATCCAAAATAACCATAGTTTTGATGTCATTGTCAGGGTTATATTCTCAGACTTTATAAAGCGCCTTCAACAGTCACAGAAGACCTTAAAAGGTTCGGGGTAGGAAGTAATCCGCAACATAATAATATACAGTTAATTTGTTCCATTTATCTACAAACTACAAGAAGAGCACAAATTTTGGTGCTCATTGCGTTAAGGTAGAATTTTTATTTGTTCCTTTTGAGAGCTTTCCATGCAGAAAATATTTCCTCTGGTTACTGTGAACTGCACTTTGTGACTTTATTGTCACAGGAAGTGACATCAGCTGTGGTGTCTGCTACTCTTTATATATCTCCTTATTGTCAGTGACACTTATGTTTACGCAGTCATTTTAAGGCTGTTGCCCAAAAGACGTGTAAATGCCATTTATCTTTTCTCTGAAGGGCCCTATTTCTTCAACTTTTGTTGTTTTACACCCGTTTAGTTAGCTGCACTGTTGGGTGAACAACCACTGAATAACTCAAATGTGACTCAAAAAATGTCTGATCAAATACACACAGCATTTACAGTGTGACCAACCACCAGTTGATACACACGTGCCATCAAAGGAAAATACTCTCAGTGCTGCATCACTATGAGTTACGTTTGTTCATTAGAACTGCTGAGGCCATCTATTATTTCCCTTTTCATGCATACTGAATCCAAACCAACTCCCACATTAGACATTTGCATACCCACTGCCGGCATCTGATCACAGCTCTTAAAACTAACATAAAATGCTGCCTCTTCTTATGAATATAATAATATATAATATAATAATAGCATGTGTGTGAAAGACTGTGTCCTTAGGCAAACACTGTGCTGCTGTACAGCTAAACCTGATTTGGATCTTGACGGGACTGAACAGAGTTGGTTTCAGCTATTAATGGCGTTTGTTTATCTTCGTCCAAGAATTGCTATTATACTGTATGACAGGCCGTTTACAGTAGATTATTTGAGAAGTAGTGTCTGCAAAAAGTATTTAAAGGATCAAAACAAAAAAGTACTACTTAACGGTCCAATTCAGAATGATACATTTGTCATTTATAATGATTACAATTCTTACATATGCATTAAAGCAACATTATGTAAGATTCGTTTTTTTGTGCGATTTCATGAAGCGCTTGCCAACATCTGGGAAACTCTTGCTCGGTCGCTCTATTTTTCTCTTCTTAGTTTCCTCCTACAGCGTCTTCTTCAGTCTCTTTACCTCTGCCATTAGCTAGGCCTAATGTTAGGTATAGAGGCTGCTGTTATTTTATGATTAAAAAGTTACATAATGTTGCTTGATCACTTGCTGCTAGCTATAAATCTCGAAATGATGTTAGCTTACTAGATAACACACTCGGACATCTGTGATATTACTGTAAGTGCTCTCCTGTCGGTTGCCGGATAGCTATGTTGGCTAGCTTGCCACCCAGTCTCTTGCTTGATCTCTCTTTTCCTCTTCTCTGCTATTGACTAAGGTTATGTCCATAGAGGCTGCTGAGCCCGGTTATTGTAGACTCCTTTACTGTTTATGTGTTTGGACCTTTGGATGCTAGAGTGTTGCGGTATTTGGCTTGGGTCTTGGGAGATTTGGAGTCACAGTATCCTCTTGTTGGCTATTAACGTTCATCTGAATAAAAGTCATTCGCCTTCACCACGACTCTGAGTGAGTTAAACAACAGTTATATTACCCGCTCGCCCAGCTAAAGGACGACAGTGGTGCCACCCTCCACCAGCAGCAGCATATCTTGGGTGGCAAGCTAGCCAACAAAGCTAGACAGCAACCAATGCAAGAGCACTTTCACTAACATTACAGATGTCCCAGTGTGTAAACTAGTAAGTTTGCAAACACCAAGTCAAGATTTATAGCTAGCGGCTAATCCTCTGTGAAACCTCTGGCTGATTTCGCTCAAGTCGACAACTTTACTAACACAGGAAACACCAAGCAAGCACAACAACACAGGACACAGCAAGCCAGCTAACTTAATAAGTTATTACTAACATGTCCTACAGCAAGAAAGCCAGCTTGCATCTCTTCGGTCTCTCCCATAGACTCAGCAGCCTCTTCCATGATATCCATAATGAAAATACCGAGCTAACTTCTTCCAAAGAACTTACATTGTACATTAAAGCCCCCTCCAGTCAGTTTTAACTGTAATTTTTGGTTAACGTTATTTGTCAAACAGAGAATGGGGGTGTGATTAATAGTCGGACGTCAATCAATTACCATGACAACCAAAAACTGACTGACTGGAGTGTTAACTAACAATATGCTGAGTTAAAATCACTACACTGTAATGTTTAGTACACTTTACTGTGTACTGCTGGACCCTCTGTTAGCTAACTTTCTGCCATAACTATGTTAGCTAACTACAACTTAGTTAATTTAGCTAATTAAACCAGAAAGACAAACCAACAATCAGACACAGAGAGACATACCTACTGTAAGTTCTAAGTAAATGACATGATAAATTGGTTAGCTAGCTCACAACAATGTTTATCGGTTTGATGCTCTGACTTAACGAGGCGTGACGGCGTGACAGTTTTTTTTAACAAGACATGAAAGTGCGCCTGCGCAAGCTTGGAGAATGAGGTATGATTTATGGAATTACTATAGTCATACGTCACAACCCCCTTTTAACAACTAAGCAACTTTTGATAATTTGAGCACAAAATTAAGCCATTCGTCAAAAAATATTTGGCGAACTATGTGGGTAATCAACCTTGTAAGGAAATGACTGATATGAAATATCATAGAAATGTCAAAATACACCGGAGGGGTGCTTTAAATACAGTTTTCTTCTTCTTATAGCTTGCACAACGACAGAGATGCCATTCATTCTATTAGAAGTCTGTGTGCCATCAAAATGATTCTAAAGTTGTTATTTTAAGAAAAAATACTACATAATGTTGCTTTAATGATGGCTCTGTTCCGTTTAAATGTTACAGAAAATCGTGACAACGAGGCAGCATGCAGAATACCAACACCCAGAATTAAGGCATTATTAATATAATTAATTACTCCAGTTTTTGCACCCTGCTATGTCAAAAAATGATGATGATGTATGTAGGGGCTAAATTGACCTCAATGCCATCAATTCAGTTTTTAATGGGGCTGTCAAATGGTAGTGCAAAGCAAGAGTTCCCTCTGCTGGACAAAAGCTGGAAGCACCACCTCAAAACTGACAAATGCAACAACTTGAATTCTGACCATGTTTATGCTGATTGTGGTATTGTTTTCAGAGTCTTGGAGAGAGCCTGTCCCTGCATACGTTGGGTAAGAGGTAGGATACACCCTGAACAGGTTGCCACTCTGCAGTTTTGGCAGCATTACAGTCAGAGGGATAACTTGATTTATGAATCTAGCTTTGATTCTTTTCCCACGCCAACCTTCTTTTTTATGTTGCTGCACATCAGTGTATACATTTAAAAAAAAACTAAATATACTTATATTATATATTTTGATTGTCTTGAGCAATAACAAAGAAGGAGTGTATTCTATAGATATGTGATTGTGCAGAGTAAAGACATGAAAACCTTTAGTGTGCATAACCTTTATTTGTTACATTAGTTTTGCTATAGCTTTTAGTACACCTTTGGTGGTAGGATAAAAGAAACAAAACAAGCTGACTTGTCTATTTGAAAAATATAAAGACATCTTTATTACAAGTACTACTTTGCAAATAATACTGAGTGGCATAGCATCCAAAAATAACATAAAACAGAAATGTGACATCGAAGTAAAAAAATAGCATCAGGCTTGAACTTCAAATGTCTAAAATGTGTGTGTTTAGACAGTGTGGTAGTTGTTTTAACATAATATATTTAAATGGCAGCAGCTTTGAAAAAAACATAAAGTTAAAATATTATGTCATACTGCACACATGCATACTTTTATTGGTGGAGAGCAATGTTGAATTTAAACACATCAGGATTATTAGAGTGAATATTTATTGTGCAAAACATTACATTTCCACCATCTCTTCTTTTCACCATATACTATCTTGGCAATGCCTGTCTATCAGTTGTTACTTGAACTGCATAAAGAAACAGGTTATTCATTCAGCTGCAGTGTCACTCTCAAGGCTACGGAGCTAAAAACCCTGCCTCATCCACATCATTGACTTTGCAAACTAGCAGTTAAAACGGTCACACATCTACATGTCTTTTTAGGCTGTAGGGCAGATTAGCATGAAAGCAATGCGTGAAACTGACATTATTTTTCCAAAGGTCTTCAAGTAAGGAACAATCATACCAGTCACGTTAGGTATTTGTCTTATTGCTGTCCAAGGGGGGAAACAACACTGATACTGCCCTGTGGGGGAGTAGAAAAGAGAGCTGCTTTGTTATAACCAGGTGAACCTCATATGGGGTCTAGTGTGCAGAACTCTTGTTATTTAAATCTGAGATCTGAGATTAGCATTGCTAGCATGAAAGGCAGTGTTTGAGCAGTTATTCATCAGTGTTACTCAAAAGCCATATCAGCCACCTGAATACAACATATCTATAGTTGAGCAAACCAGTGAGACTGTGATATAATCTGAATTTAAGTAGGAGGCTGAACTGACAGACATAAAACTGCAACATTTTCACTCTTTGATGCATCTGTAAAGATCCAATCCAATCAAAATGATCTCCATTCTTTTAGTGTTGAGAGAAGATCTCCAAGTTTAATTTCACTGTATATAATCAAACCCATTTGTGTTCAGAACATCAATAAGATGCAATATAAATCTATAGGAAGCATCTGTTTAAAAAAAAAAAAAAATACAAAACCACAAAATGAACATTTATTTGGCCATTAACGAAATTTTTGTTTATACGGATAGGTCATAATTAATCTTATTTACAAGGGAGACCTGATCAAGACAACAGATTAAAAAAACTGTAATCTGATTTTTTAAACAGCCATTATAATAGAAAATGAACACGGTTCGCTGTTGCATCAGTCTGCAATGTCATTCATTTGATATTGTCATGATTTGTTTCCTCTTTTGAAAAAATGGTGTTCAAGGTACAATGGTGATAATGAGGTCTACTAAATAATAGTCCAATGCTCAACGAGAGGTGGTTGTCATGGCTTCTATTCTCTGCCTAAAAAAATAAAATAACAGAAAATAAAATCATCCCACATAGAGTCAACCACCAAACCACAAATCATGTCAGAGAGGCCTATTGAGTTGTTACCCTGTGAAAGCGAGAGTTCATGGACTCAGAAGACCCACAGCCACAGGAAGTGACATCACCAGTGACAAAAGCCACGGTGCTGATTTAAACATTACACTGATTGCAGAGCAGATTGGAAGGATCCCTGCAATAGAGCAGAATGTGAGTTTAGATGTTGTTTGATTTGGTGAAACCAAAACCCAGATAAACAAGCTGAAGTGAAGTCTACTCACTGTGATGGATGGCCATGCTGTTCTCCTTCCAGCTGTTGCCCTGGTAAACCCTGCAGGTGTAGGTGAAAGGCCTCTCATCAGCCAGCGGAGCCCAGGTGAGGCGGCACAGAGTGGGAGTGACCAGGCTGACGTTGCTCCTCCTGCGGTCCTCTGTGGACACATACACGACAGCATTGGGTAAGGTGCTGCCCACCAGCCGGCTGTCCTGCCGATACTCACAGTAGGGGCCGGGGACCTGGTAGGTGGGTGGAAACTCACAATCCACCCTGACATTTCGCTCCAGGTAAGTTAGACAGGGAAACATCTGAGGTCCACGTGGAGCGAACAGAAACCTAGTCCAAAAGCTCACTGAAACAGATGCAGACAGGATGTGAATCAGCACATTCTTCTCTTATCCTTCCCATATGAAATGAATGCTGTATGAAGTAGTGTCACTTTCATTATATATTATTTCAGAGTTTAGCAAATGCAAAACAAAACTTCACATAATCTGAAAACTACTTTACTCTATATCCTCTACATGCTCTCAATTCTAGAAGGTAAACAACAGATTATATGTGTGTTTTCAGTCTCAATTTACACAAAACAAATGTGTTAAAACAGGAAAACTGTGATTCGTATTCCACAGTCTGTCCCTCAAAGGGCAAAAGTTAAAATAGATTTATTATATAAATAGTATGTCAAGTATGATATACATTTACAATACATTTTCCCCATATCAATATTTATTAATGAATGAATATCATTTCTTAAGCCCAGTTCAATTAATATTACTTCTTTACCTCATTTCATACAAGGGAAATTGAGAGGGGAATTACGTTTTTTCTTGCAACTATTGCATGTAGTTTCAACTCAGAAACTGATGAACTGGTGGCACCCAATTTTTCATCTTGAGGCGACCATTCCCTGCTCCTGGAGTAAAAACACTTGCTCAAAAAACTGTTTTAATAAAATTCAAGGGAGTAGAATTTAGTCGGGTTGGTAGAACATTATTATCCAGCAACTAGTGAATTCTCCCTAGCAAGAATTTTTATCAAAACAATAAAATATAACCACTGTTGTCCATCAGCGTTTAGTCAACATATCTGGTACACAAACAACAGCTCTTTTTGTTGTTCTTTTTTTAAGTTTTGAAAGATTATGTCCTCCCCCATATATACCTCACAGTGGTTTGGTCAGTTTCCTACCCTTTTCAGAACCCCAGCGACTCTATTTCTAAAAAGTCTCCTGTTGGGAGATTTTCTTATTGTCCCCACCAACAGTGGCATGAAATATCCGCCCTTGCAGATATGGATCATGAGTGAACAGCCAGGAATCATTCATTTTGTTCACCTCTGGATGCTGACTTGGCCACAAAAGAAGATAGCAATATGTTTCAAATGTTTAATGTTGAACCAATCAGATTATGAAATAAATAGGCTACACATATGAATAAAATGTTTAAAATACATTTATAATTTCACCCCCTTCCCATCTCCCATTATTTGGATTTGGCATTTGAATTACATAATCCTAATGAAACATTACTGAGCTCTGTGGTGAGACTGGGTAATGACACCTTTGCTGCAGTACTGAATTTTGTCTACCTGCTATGAAAGACGTTGTATTCACAATAAAGGAATTTTCGTTTTTGCAACAATTTTTTTTCAACATAATCAGTCAGACAAAGACTAAATCCAACTTTAAACGGATCTCAATCAAACAATATGACATCACAGCCATATGTTTCTTCCTATACATGTAACAGTGTCCAGTCTGCAAATGAATAAATACAAAAGAATCACACATACTGTGAGTTTGATGCGTTGTCATTATCCTGCCAAAGAGGAGACAGGCCGTGGCGAACAGTTGCAGCTCCATGGCGATTGGATTCTGTCCAATCAGATCAATAACCTTCAAACCACGTTATGGCCTACAGAGTTCAACATGGGACATCATGACAAAGTTGAACATGCACACCCAGAGCACAACCAATCAGTGATTAATTCAGGAAAAAACACACGATGCTTATAAGTTACAAAGACGAAAAGTAAACATGCAACCTACAACTGCACCATGCGTTAGGCTGTCTCCACTAGCGCAGGATCAAGTGCTGTTCTGCCTGCAGCCCAGATGCAGACAGATCTACTACGCCCATGCAGTATCTTATGCTGCAGCAAACTGCAGAGCTCCCCTCACTGGCTGCACATTTGGTCTACTGCAGGTGAAAGAACCGTATAGCCATGCACATGCTTCTGACACAAGCAAAACCGATTCGAAGGTGTAAGTGTTTTTTCACACTGACATGTCTAAACCTGATTTTTTTACTCTGCAGATGAGACAATCGGTCTCTTACCTGGTATTTGGTCCCCTGTTCCGAGGATGAGCTGCGTCTGACTGAGGATACAGTTATTGCTCTGTAGCCTACGTCCTCACTTAAACACACACACATGCACATCGGCTGCTATCCTACAGAGACCCGTCCCTCATTGCACTGTTTCCCGATCAGAGATCCAGGAGCAGCCCATTCTTTGGGAGGAATTGATTTTCACCTTTTTCCTTTTATCAGGAAACACTGGTGCTGCTCTGACCAGAGATTTCGTGCTCATTAGCTACCCTGTCATGTGTGACTCAAGCTTGATGAGGAGGTGGTAAAGTCTTTACATTAGAGTTCCTACATTAAAGATTTGTTGAAATGAAACCTGGCAAGCAACCAATCCATTTCATTTTCATATTACCACCAACACTACTCTTAGGGGGAACCATCAAATCTTGGGCAAAACAGCTCCCTCTGCAGTACAAAAACCGGAAGCACTACCTTAAATATGGCAAATACAGTAATCAATGTTTTGGTGACATCTAGTGTAAAAAGAGTGGGTGAAGCGTGCTGGACACATGCTCAGACACTAAAACCCACAAACTTAATAGAAGAGAATACCTCTGCAGAAGTTTTTTCACTGCAATTCTGGTCACATTAGAGACAGAGTAATACCAATGACCTGCAAATGATCTTTCTCATAGAAACATTTTTTTGGTGTTGTTTAGAGATTGCACATGTTCAAATACGCTGGGTTTTAATTGTGAATGAATTCCAAAGACCAACAGGGACTTGTGCACAGAAAACAATGGAGACTTTTATTGAATGTTACCTTCATTTGTATAGAATTTAATATATATATACCAGGGCAGGCAGAATAAAAGAAACCTAAGGGGAGAAAGGCCGTGACAAACAGGTGAAGCTCTGTGGTGATTGGTATCTGCCTGACCAGATCAAAAATCTACATTATGATGTTATGAAAGTTCATCATGGGACATCACGAGAAAGTTGCACATGTTGTACCAGAATACCATCAGGGATTAATGAAAAAACACAATCTGCATAGAGGCACAAAGTAAACATGCAAACTCCATAATACTGTACATTACTGTAAACAACTAGAGCAATAATATGGCAGGCCTGGATGAGTTGTTCTGCCTGCAGCGCAATGCAGGCTGCAGTACCTTTACACTGTATTGTGGGGTAATGGGACATACAGTATGCGCTATGGAGGGGGGAACCTGTTTTAAAGATTAAAAATAGTACCCAATATTTTCTGTATTTTTAATCAGTGAAAAAAGCAGTGAGAAAAATAAACAACAATAGTTAATACATGGAAGTATATACAGGGATAACCATATTGTTTTTTAAGGAGAATGTGAATATAAAATAAATACAAATTTTATGACAATCTTTGAGGTGCGTTCAAAATTATCCCTAAAAGTACCGACTATTACAGTAATTGCAGGTCAATGACAATGCGCCTTCATGATCAGCATACATTTTAGTAGAATTTTAATATAAATTTAATTCAGAGGAGGAAACATGGAGGGATAGGAAAAACACTGTGTAATGTATCATTCAAACTGTAATTTATTGATGGTCCGTCCTCAACTAAGCATCCCAGTTGTATGGGGAATGGGGAGGTCAACTGTGTAGACTGGAGCTGAATGTCAAAGACTCAACTGTGTGCTGTGTGTTTATGTATGAGAAATAATCCAACCGAAGTTAAAAAGTGAGGTGAAATAAAGAGCTCTTGCAGGTATAAACAATGCAAGGAGAAACATTGCAAAACAGTGCATGTTGCTGTGCTTGGACGACTTTAGCTGTGGAAATAATAATGCAGACAAGCATCCAGTCTGTGTGTTAGGATACAGACAGCAGACTTTGCAAACTGTCAACAGCGACATGAGGCCTTTAAGATCATTTCCTTCTAAATAAAAGCTTTTTTTTACATTGAAAATGGAATAACGCAGAAAAAAGAATATTCTTACAATTATTTTTGAATATCTTAAAAATGCCTTTCTCATAAACAAATACTACACTATCTATGCCCCCCCACTCACTCACACTCTTTATGTCACTCTTGGCCTGACGGGCTAAAACTAAACACACATCTGGCAGTGCCTCAGACCACTAAAAGCCACACATTGTTGGTGAACAGGTGTACTTTGCGCCCATCTGGGCCAAAAACCTGCACTGAACAGCCAGTTATGCCACAGTAGGAGAGAATCAAATATTCCAAAACACACCACATGGGACACAGTAACAGTTTAATAAAGGGGGTGAAGGAGTCCAATGAGCACACAAACATGGATCATGATTGCTTTTGTAGCACCGTTTTTTTTATGGACCTTAAGGAAAAATTAAGAATCTAGGGCTTTAAAAGGACATAATCAGTACTTGGTGTAGTTTGGTACTATAATGATAGTAAATCATTGATGAAGAATAGGTGATGGCTCTGCGTTTCATCTGCAGTGTATCAACAGCAGCATCCAGCAGAGGAGCAGCAGGGATCACAGCTACAGAATCTCTAATGAATACTTTTGGCAGTGATCACCACACCTGCTTTCTCTCTTTTCATGGCCAAAAGGGAGGAGACAAAATTGTAAAAATATATATATATAATCAGTAAAATACAGCGTAAAGTGGCAGAGACCCTCTGCTTCCGTTGTGTGCTTTGGTTTGTACCTTCCAGAGGCTTTTGCAACACTTCTGTCAGTGTCATGGGAGACTGCTTCAGTGTGTGGCAGTTGTTCAGCAGCTGTCCAGGAAGGACCTTGACAAAATGGATGAGCAGTGTGAAGAGGATACAGAGGATACAGTGAGAGGATAGAGGGGGTCTGGCTAAGGGGATTTGATAAGATGAAATTCTGGTTGATCTTAATCTTTTTAGGTATATGGCTTATGGTATATTTGCATATGCCAATGTTACTTTTACACAGCCGTAGCCATTAATATTTAGATACACATTTTGTCACATTATATATATTTTCAATTATACACTGCTACTGACTACTGGGAGGCTGGCAGTGCTGGCTGTACATCTTTGCTGAAGCTGGCGACTATAGAGAGTTACTGCTGTCTGTAGTAATGTTATGTCGGCCTATCATTCTGTTGGTCCATCACTTTGGTCAAGACTGAACATCTCAACAGCTATTGGATGGATGACCATGACATTTGGTAGAGACATTCATGTTCCCCTCAGGATGAATTGTACTAACTGGCGATCCTCTGATTCTTCATGTAGCGCATCATCAGGTCAGATTTGCGATTTATCTAGTAATTAGGCATTTAACTAAATAGATGCAAAACAAATGACATTTCCATCCACCTCAGCTGTACTTTGTTTTTAGTGCTAATTAGCAAATGTTAGCATGCTGACTTTAGCACTTAGCTGAAAGCCCTCCTGTGCCTAAGTGCAGCCTCCCAGAACCACCAGACTCTTAGTCTTGTTAAAACACAGTTTTCAGTGTGTGTTAAAAGGTCATGCAACTACACACTAGCATTTTCAGGACATTTTAAGTGTGAAAAAATCCACACTTGTTTCTCTTGTCAGACAATTAAATGAGCAATGGTGTTCACATGTCATTAAAGCCGCCTGTTGTAAATAAAAGTTGTTCACAAGATAAAACATAAATACAAACTGATCAGTTCAATCTGCAGTTAAAATCAGTCTTAACTTTTATTGCCACACAGCCTCCAACCAGACTTATGTAATTGTTTTCCAAAGGCTCACTTACCCGTCTAACAAGATTTAGACCATTTTTTAAAGCCTGGTTTTTGGTTGAGAAAAACGCCATCTTAGGGCAAAGTTGAGAGAAAAGAATGCCTTAGTGTGGACGTCTAGATCAGTTGCAGCTGTGACATAGGCCTCTTAATAGTCTAATTTTGGTACTCTTACTGCTTTAATGAAATATGAATGTAGTTATTAATGAGAAGCCCATTAGCAAGTAACTCAAATACCATTCTGCGTGTACGTTTTCTTTCCTTTATTATGCGTTTTTGATTTTTATGCAGATATAAATGTAGTATTATAGAATGCATTAGTTGAATTGAATCATCTGCATATTTAATATGTACATATTTTAATTTATGTTGGTTAAAGTGGCTGAGAAACTGCTGACACCTATTGCCCTTGCACACTGAATGAGGGAATGCTGCTGCTGAGGTGTTTCAGCTAATCAAACCCTCATCAAAACATGTCTTTTTTCTTTCTCATTCAGCAGCCTGCACTTAATCTCTTAATATGGGGGCAGAGGTTTGTGTATTGACATGTGATCCTCTGTCCTCTGGTAAAACAAAGCATAAAAATCAATAAAATCCTCATACAACACTGAGAAATGTCCCCAAAGTCCACTGGAGCAGAATTTTCTCCCCCCTTATCTCTCCCTCTCCCCTCCCTCTATGTCCCCCTCCCTCTCTCCTCTGTTTCTTCTATAAGCCGACCTCTACTGTATCTACCCCTGGCATCACACTGCAGAGCACTGAGGAAAGCTCAAACTGCATCGGACAAGGTGAGAATGATTCATATACTGTTATATGCTGGATCTGAGCTATGGTAAAATATTGAACTGTGTTTACACAATGGTTTAGTCTGGATGAAATATTTGGTTTACTGCTGGAGTCAGCACTAAAGCAAATCTTTAAAACGAAGGCGAGCGTAAATTTGAATCAAGCAAACAAAATAGAGCCTGAACCGCTTTATGTATTTTCTTAACATATTGAACACAAGTAGGCAACTAATGAGCCTATGTTCTTGCGAGAGGTTAAGCACAGAAATGTGTCAGTGTTGGCAGTTCACCAGAAAAGTTTGCAGTTGATCTCTTTGCAGCGTAAACATTGAGGCTGTATTGTACTCTGTCGTTCAGTATTATGGTACCGTGGATTTTCCACAGTAACCTCTGTGGGTTCTCATAGAGCTCCAGAAGTGTCTTAGAAATCTGACCCTCCGATCTTTATGGCATAGCCAGTTGCATTTGATTTGAACCTCAATTCAGTTCAATTCAATAAATCTTTGTTGTCCCCGGAGGGCAATTCTGGTGCAGCATAAAAAATACAATATTAATTTGACATTAAAGCTAAAATAAATAGACAAGCTGTTTGGTTCTGGTGTATAGTTACCTGGTGTTAATTTGCTTTGACTCTATTTTATATTTTCCCCCAGGAAAGTTGGGAGAATGTTCTTCCTTGCCACAATTTTACTTTTTGGTAAGATTCTTTATGGTTTAGGTTATGTTTTAATATTTTGCCTCTCTTTCATTATGAATGTCTCTCTCATCTGATTGAGTTTATAGCATTGTTGAGTTTATAAATGGGTGTTTTGATTGGGGTTGGTAAAAAAAACAACTGATCATCTCTTTGTGTTGTACCACTCGTAGGCTTTGCATCAGCCCAG